AAAATGGTGGTTGAAATAAAATGCTGTGTGGAGTCAACCAATCAAAATGCGGCATGAACTCAACAAATCAGCGTGATCAGCACCCAAGTCCCACCCCCGAAAGTTCCTGAACTTTTTATAAAGTACTACCTCGCAAGCAGCGACTTTCTGAGGTGGAAATTTTACCCAGAACTTTTAGACCCTGCTTCCTGCGAAACACACAGAGTACCACCCCAAAGTTCCTTGTTCATGGTGAAAGTTCCTGCGGTGGAAATGCGGGTAGGGTAGGGGTAGGGTGTCCCGATTCTTGCTGTGATAGAGGGGTAGGGCGAAGGGGTAGGGCTACATAGCCCTTGAAAGGGATATTTTTCAGAGGCACACTCCGAACGGAGGGCTACGAGAAAGTTCCCAGAATGCATTGTGAATCACCGGCGAGATGGCTTCGCAAACGGTTAAACATTTAAATATAGCCCCAGATGACACCACCATGCACTTTATTTACTCTTATAATAATAATTTAGTCATTTAAATTAAGAAATTGTATAATAAATTACCTTTCCGAAACAGAAAAGACATACATTTCGAGGAAGGAACGTTATAATCATCATGTTTCCTCAGAGTTTCCTGTAAAAACTCGTCGCTTCCGTAACATCAGAGCCATCATCGACGACTGATGACGTATCGGGTTCATGAAGGGTTGTTCCATTTCGTAGGGGAACATTTCAACCCCTTGGCCATTGTAACTCTGTTTTAAGGGCCAAAAGGGTACACTCGAAAACAAGGGGTAGGGGCAAGGGGTGAAATGGGATTGAGCCTTATACATTGTTTATTCAGCTCTTATAGTGATTTTCTGGCCTAAAACTAATGCTTCATCTTTTATGTGATGTACAATAAACTTCATTGAACTCATCAGTATTTGGTCATCATTCAGACGGGGTCTGCTACAGCAAGCTTGTATTAATAGTGGATAAAAGCAGATGGCAAATACGTTACAACTCTAATTTACTTTAATTTACTAACTCTAATCTAATTTAATCTACCTGTTTTATTTCCATACAGCATATTCTCTTGCTCTGTAGGCATTATTGTCCGACTCCGGGTCGAAATGAGCACCGCTACTGAGAGTTTCTGTTTTGATATTATCTTTGCTTGAGATGAGATTGTCCTGCCACTGAGCGCGAGCTCGTGAGGCTCCGCCCTCTGTGCCGGCAGCAGCAGCTCATTTGCATTTAAAGGGATACACATTAAACCTGCATGTTTTTCTGAGCCCCAAAAAGGGACAATTTAAACATGCTGTAAAAAATTATCTGTTGGGTATTTTGAGCTAAACCTTCACATACACACTCTGAGGACATCAGAGACTTATTTTACATCTTATGAAAAGGGGCATAATAGGTGCCCTTTAAAACAAGCACAAATTTTATCTGAAGTGAATTGCAAATGCTTATGCTTTGCAACATAGTGTATGCTTATATTGTGTGTATCATTTACTTATCCAAAATAAGTGTTTTCCATAAAACCCTGGTTAGGTGTAATATGTACAAATGAAGAACATTCAAAACCATTGCTAACCCATGTTTATCTGATTACAACAACTCAAAAAGAATAAGCAGTGTAATAATCCAATGCATTTCTCATGCTGTCTAAGGTTAGTGTCCATGAATTCACCATTCAGAAAATACTGAAAGGTGGTGTGCATGGGTAGCCTCGTGAGACCATCCTGATCTCGCGAGCTTTCAAGGTTTCACTCGCAGATCAGTCTGGATACTTTCCGTTAAAGAAAATTTGGGAGCAGTTCACCAAACGAACGTCCAATCAGCGTTGGCTTTGAGGCGGGTTGAGGTGTGACGCAACGAGAAGCGCGTCAGTTCAGTCTAAAGAACATGTCGGCTTCAGCGGATGAAACTAGCATCAGCGTGGCTATCGAGCAAGTTTTATCGGAATTACAGAGTATTTCTTCACTGAAAGAAGAGCAAAACACTGCTCTGGAGGCTTTTCTCAGAGGAAAAGATACGCTCTGTTAGTACGTCATATGCTTCGTTGATCTGATTGGTTGATTTGGCCCGTCTATCACCAACATAGGCCAATCAGCTAACCAGTATTTTCGCCCCTTACCAAAACTACTTCAACGGAAGGTTTCCAGATGGATATGCGGAGCAAATCCATCTGGCGGAGTCAGGTTAGTGCATGGGAGGATACCAAGGAGGAAACCACAGCATCCAAACAGAACACTACTTCATGTCTGAGGTCTGCCAAACTGGACCTAGATGATCCAGATGGCTACTGGAAGATTTTGATGCATGATGAGGAAGAATAGGATATTTTTCTCAATATGAGAAATGTTTGGTGAACAATAATAATAAAAATAAACACTGCATCCCCCAAATAGGATGGTATGATGGTGGATACACATTTGATTAAAAAAAAAAATCTTAAACATATCCACTGATATGCGGTAGCAATTTGCTTTGTTCATGTTGTCAGGTTTAAAATCTGGGAACAATTACATCAAAGTGGTTACACACAAAACATTACTTACTGCATCTTTAGGATTTATGTCAGACTAAAAAGGATAATACAAGTTTAGAACTTTCACATCATATTATGTGATCACTCTTTTGCTTTACATTTTAATATCACAGTAATGTTGGCTGCTATCCTTTTAACGTTGACAAACTCATTCTCTAGCACAGAATGTCTTTGGAAGGTATAGGCTACACACACCAGGGAATTTCTGCAAGTTAACCTCCCCCATGATCAGGCCACCCACACTTAGTCATGTGCCTGGGATTGGCCCTTCTAAATGAGTCCAGTGTACTCCATATTGAATCCTGACTGACAAGGTAAAATGGAACACAGGAAATGGCCCCTGCTTGGAATATGACCAAACTTATTTTATGGATGTTGAACAAAACCTGCCTACATCAGCTTGAAAAGACTGAAGGAAATCTCATTTATTTTCAGAGAAAGAAAAATTAACATCAAAGGGCAAGTGGTCATAGATGTGTGAGGTGGTATTTTTCTTTATGAAATCATTTGTATAAAGAAATGTATTTTAATTAAATAATGGTAACACTTATAAGGTTTTATTTGTTGACAACATTAGTTAACATGAACTAACAATGAACAATACTTCTAGATTATTTAGTCTTAATGTCAATCTCAACATTTACTAATACATTTCTTAAATCAAATGTTGCTTCTGTTAACATTAGTTAATGCACTGTGAAATAACATTAGGATGAACATTTATATTCACTAACATTAACAAAGGTTAATTAATGCTACAAAAATATATTGCTTATTGTTAGTTCATCTTACTGCATTAACTATTGTTAACAAATGTGACCTTATTGTAAAAATAAATAAATAAATAATAATATAAAATAATAAATTAAAAATAGTTCTTGTTAAATAGTTAGTTAACAACTAATTGTGATTTATTTTGCCGAAAGTATTCAAAGAAATCAAGTAAGATCACATGGCATTTATTCTTTTCACAGACACAACATGGTATATTAAATTTCATTTAATTCAGTTTCTTGTCTTTTCTTTGAAATTCGTTACTGTGTATTTAATGAGGAAAATGTGACTGAATTAAGAGGACTGTGACCCAGTTCAAGGTTTTTTTTTTTTGCAATATCATTGCCTCACAGTGTCCTCCTTAGTGCACCTTCTGCTCTATTCTGAGAAGGCTTAGTGTTCCAGTACAGAGAAACAGGGTGACTGGAAGAAATTAAGCTTGATTTAATTAGGCAAACGAACAGGCACTTACAGAGAGAACATTGGATGAGACTCTTATGCTTTCTATCTTAAAGATAATGCAGCAAACACATTAACAAAACATTAACAAACAAAAAATGTAAAAATGTGAATTATTCTATCTTCCATGCTGTCCTGTTCCGGTCTCCATTTGAACCCATTGTTAAAAAGCTGAGGCCGCCGAGACTTGTTTAGAACAAAGGTGAATAATATAACATTATTAACTAGACGAACATTTTCTGAAGAAAATGTGAGTGGTGCTTGCAATTGCAAAATTCGGCACTCGGTTGCTCGGGTGTTTAGTGGTTGCTAGGGTGGTGCTAGGTGGTTGCTAAGGTGTTGGGTGGCAGCTAAGGTATTCTGAGTTGTTGCTATGGTATTCCTAGATGGTTGCCAGTGTTCTGTGGGTGGTTGCTATGGAGTTGCTAGGCTGTTGTTAGGGTATCCAGGGGGTTGCTAGGGTGTTGCTAAGGTGTTGTGGGTGGTTGCTAAGGTCCTTCTAGGCTGTTGCTATGGTATTCTGGGAGGTTGCTAGGGCATTGCTATGTGGTTGCTATGGTGTTCAGGGTGGTTGCTATGGTGTTGATAGGGTGTTATGATTGGTTGTAAGGGCTTGCTAGGGTGTTGTGGTTGGTTGTTCGGGTGTTGCTAGGCAGTTGCTCATTGTCATAGATGGTTACTATGGAGTTTGTATAGAGTTTTTAGCATGTTCTTATCATGATTTAGCACTTAGTTAATCACGGTTATGTAGCTATTCACAGCTAGCATGTGTAACATGATGGAAATCCTGGTTGCTTGCAAGAGAGCCAACCCCCATACGATGTTCTGATGCTGAGATATAGGTCTTGCTAAACAGTTGCTAGGGTACTCTGTTTGGTTGCTAGGGAATGGCTTGGCAGCTGCACATGATATGAACCAACACCATGCCATGACATTAAGATTTGAAGATATTACTCTTCCCACGATTTGACGCCTCATTCGTGGAGACTAGGCTAGGAGACTATAAAAAACGGTGCGGGACGAGTGCGCCGCAGTTTTGCCCAGAAGAAGAAGTACCGGTAGTATGCAAGAAAACCATGGTAATACTTTGCTTCGCAAGCACAACTAACTAGAGGGCGGGGCGTGAAGGGGGACTGGTGCTGACGCAGCGCAGAGGGCGTGGTTTGCGTTCGGTGAAGGGGATTCAGTGTGTGGTGACTCGGGCGGAGTCGGCTTTACTGTCGGGAAACGAGCTCAATCATTGAGATAAAGAAAAAAAAAAAACTAAAAAACTCAATTAGCGGGTTGAAATGTACCCCACTGCTGTATGTTACTTCCCCAAAGAAGCGTCGTATGTGGAGTGTTTTTAGCGTTTGTGGTGGGTGGATTTGTTGGAGAGCTGCTTAAACTGGAGTTACGGGAAGCGAAGGAGATTTTCTCGGCCCTGGTTTTCATGATCGGGTCGCTTACAACTTACTAAAGTTCGCAGATATACTTCAGTTTCTCTCTTTTTTAACCACTGCTCGGTATGTATGCTTGTTTTATGAAGTATGCAATGTGTTTAGGATGGGTGTGTATTGTATTGTTGAGATTATGGGAGGTTTGGCAGGATCGCTTTAGCTGTGTCGATTGTTCCAGTACAGCGTGTCCAAACTGAATATTAACGTTACTGACTCTCCACTTACGTTACTTCAACTACTTGACACTGGCGGTTTATTTTCTACCGCCACTGTGCTTTTAGCATCGCAAATTAAGTTGTAACTTTAATCTTTCTAATGTTTTTGTGCGTATACATTTATATGGTTCACTAATAATCCGTTATATTATTTAAGGCTAACATTAGCCAATAAGCTAACCCCGAACATTCAAAATTAATATAAATATATTTTCATGCGTCTTCTATCAACGCCTAATGCATTGACTCGTCATTCGGAATAACATCCAGTTCGATTTTAATGGATCTGCTGTGTGTGATTTTTATCTGATTTGATTGTGGTTTTAGTATTGCTATTACATTTTAATTCTACAAACTTACACTTTGTTTGCTTTTTGAATGCATTCAGTTTATGTTTGGTTAAGTTATTCATGTTCGTTCTTAATGTTGCGCCGATTAATTATTGTAATCTGTCACATGAAACTCAAAGGAGAGTTTTCCTCTGTCAGCATTTTAACTCTTTGGAGTTTCTTTTGCGCCGTTTGTTCTTTTATTTGCACTTTTTCAAAAAGTGTTTTCCCATTTGACGCTTTCTTTGTTAATTTAGGTATACCGTGCTTAACATTTTTAAATTTGCATTGTCTCGTTAGAAGACAGAGAATAACAAAGAATCACGCCATAAATAATCAAAATATTTTGCTAGTTTAGTTCTACTTGGAAAAAAAGTATTTAGGCTACTTGCAGAACATTTATAATCTATTGCTGTTTGTGCTATTAAGCTACTATCAAAAAATAAATAAAACGGATATTTTGTTGTGCCTTTTGGTAGGCTATTACTATTATATGAACGTATATGTTTGTATTCTATCAAATGATGTGTAACGAGTAGATTTACTAGTTGTTTTCACCATGAAAGGCGAGTTGCTGTTTGAAATGTTTTTTTTTTTTTTTTTTTTTTTTGTGGCTTGTGTAATGGCTTCTCTTCTGTGTTGCAGGTTTCAGTTACTCTGTAAGATCCAGAGGAACAGGCCTCACACAGATGGGAAGAGTCTGTAAGAAGCACCTTGAAGGTGCACCCAATCATTGGACTATTAGTTTCACATAATCCACTTGTCCAGACAGACTATCCAGTGTGGATGATAATAAAGGCGTAAAGTCTTTGGATAAAACCCTTTTTTCTTCGACTCTTGCCCCTCATAAAAATATTGGTTTAAAGAACCTTTGTGAGCAGTCATTATCATTTTTGTGACACCAGAACTTTACCATCAAAATGAGTGCAGAAGGATATCAGTACAGAGCGCTGTATGACTACAAGAAAGAAAGGGAGGAGGATATTAACCTGCATGTTGGGGACATTCTTACAGTCAACAAGGGTGCACTACTTGCAGTTGGCTACGTAGAAGGCATAGAGGAGAGACCAGAAGAAATTGGATGGCTCCCTGGCTTTAATGAAACCACTCAAGAAAAGGGGGACTTTCCTGGTACGTACGTGGAGTTCATCGGCAAGAAAAAGATTTCTCCACCAACTCCCAAACCAAGGCCCCCAAGGCCTCTACCTGTGGCTCCGGGGACTGCAAGGCCAGACTCAGACTCTGAGCAAAGTGAGTAAGCTAAAAAATTTCCCCTGAATTATATTTTCAGCCTTTTTGCCACATCCAGGGATCTGGAAGTATTGCTAACTGGACTAAAACATGCCTTGCATATGATGCAAATTAGCTTTAGAATTGAAAGTATTTATCAAAGTATCTATCAAAGTATCTTAAATCCTCAGATTTTTCTACCATTTTGTGCTGCTACTTAGATAGTTTCTCAATTCCACAGAAGTTTTATATAGTTAACCCTTTGATTAATATTTGGTCACCAGAGTTGACCTTAACCAGTGGTCACAAAGCAGATCTTCATGTATTTGCAGTATTAAAAAATTGTCAACCTTTTTAGCTTGGTTGGTGCATAATTTTAACGAACCCTTTTTCCACTTAACTAGATCCATTCATGCTGATGCCAAACCCACTGCCTCTCTCAAAATACCCACTCACCACTTATTCCATTTTCGTAACTAGCGACCAGATTTTACACCACCATTTCATCAAGAGATTGGATTTATAGCTGCAGCACACAAATGTCGCCTGAATATTTAAGGCTGTTTAAGGTTTGCACTGGGCTATGTTTTGTAATTGCAAACATGGCAGGAAGCCCAGATTTGGATGGAGGCACACAGTAGTTTGTAATTGTCTGGCATTGCTGCATCTTTCACACAGCCACAGTACGAGTGCTTCGAGCCCCCTATGGCTCCTTTAAAATCACCCAGTTCTCTTAATTTGTAGGTTTGCTCTTATGCTGTCTTTGTTGTGCCATTTGTTGCCATTTCTTTTCTAGTGTCTAAAAAAGCTTGATCTATGTATTGTGAATGATACAATACAGATTCTTAGGGCACTTTCACACTATAGCTTTTGAGGCTTGTTTGCCTTAGGTTCTTAATAAGAACCAGAAAGACAAACTCAGTTGTCATGGTGACAACTGAACGATGTGTTCATGTTGTCAGGTTATGAAACATAGGCTAGATCATAAGTGAGATAGGGCACTCAAAATCAACTTGTGTGCTACTTCCTCATCCTATGTGGTTTGATGCATAAAAACACTAGTACATAACTTTTTATCTTTGAGGTTGTTGTTGTTGTTGTTTTTTTAAAAACCCAGCTAACTTTTTCCTGGTGGTCAAGAATTAAGATTGCTTAAGCTGCATAACTGTGGCTAAATTGACACTATGGCCTCTTTTTTTCTCAATACCTATTCTGAATTGTGTCCATGTTAAGGGAAGGGAGAGGAAGCTCTTACACTGGATAGGGGTTGAGACTTGGAGATTGCAGTTTTTAGGAATGTAAACCAGAAGCAGATCTGGAAAACTGCCAGAGCTCATGGCATTATGCTGCTCACACGCTAGAACCAGGACTCAAACCCAATCCCCCACTCCACCACTAAAACCACAAAAAATTCCAGATCTCAAACTCAACACTTTTGACTTAGCAGTGATTTATTTTTCTAATCTACATATGACATAATTGACATCTGATGCTGATTACACTGTAGGAAGATTATTTCGGCCTTGCTAGAAAATCTCTGGTTTCTCTTCCTCATTTGAAATGACTACCGTATGTTTTTTTTTTTTTCTCTTGAATCCTCTTAGCCTATTTGGGTAACTGTTGCGTAAAGAATCAGTGCAGAGAGAAGTGAAATGCCAGAAAATGCCCCTCATTCTCGATAGAGATGCTTGAGGTGGCATTGTGTGTGTGGTATTATGTGTCATTCATTATATGACATAAATGTTATTCCTGATGAATCTCCAGATCTAGCTGAGCTCATTTATAAAATTATTTGAAACATTAAAAAGAAAAAAGAATTTAATAGCCAAAAATAAAGTGCTTTCCTGTGTGGGGCCTGAAGCAGAGACTCACGGCATAAGAAACATCTGGAATGTCTTAAAGACGAATCTCACAGATTTTCACCAATTCAGCAATTGGCTCTTCCTCTTTAGTGTTCATTTTATTATTTTACTAGCACAGGAGAATTCCAGGCAGAGAACGATTTGTAATTGTGCCGTGCCGAACGAAGCTCAACTGGAAATATAACTTTAACCGTTCCTTACCGTTCTTAGAACCTTTCGATGAAAAAACAGCAGTTAAGAAAGCATCTGATCATAGCTACATGGATTATGGATATGTTCGTCACAGTCAAGTCAAATACACGTTTTTTTTTTTATATAGCACTTCATGCAATAGATTTATTTAAAGCAAGCAGCTTTATAGTATTAAAAGTGAAAAAACAGTGTCGCATACTATGAATACTTGCCTTAGTTTACTTACCTTAACTTTGATTCATAATGTTAGTCTGTATAATGTAAAGGTAAGAAATATTTTAGTAATTTAGTATAAATACATTATTATTATTATTATTTTTTACAGTGTACTAGGGGTGTAACGGTACATGTATTCGTATTGAACCGTTTCGGTTCGAGGCTTCCGGTTCGGTACGCATACAAACCGAACGATTCCTTGGACCATTTTTCCTGCCGACAAAATTCGCGCTGGCGCGACCATAGGACACGACCACCACAACGTTGCGCAACATAAAATGTCAAGCGTAATGAAAGCGGAACGAAACTGCGCTACTCATTGTGTGCTTCACGGATCGTTTATCAGTTCGGACCAGCAACATCTGTGCAGCGCGAGCCTTTTAAGTGAAATTACTGAACTTAAATAAGCTTGATAAAATTTATCATTCTAGAAGAAAATTTAAAATGGCTTTTGCATCTGAACTCTTCATATATTTAAATGTTATTTTTAATGTGATGACCAAAAAATGATTTGTTCATCCTTCAAAGATGACACCCATTTATAAACCTGAAAGTTTCAAGATGTAGGAAAACTCACACTTATTTAAAAAATATTTTTTCTTTTAACAAATAGGAAATTTCTATGGCATTTCTTACTTTTTGCTGTATCGAAAACGTAGCGAACCGTGACTTTAAAACCGAGGTACGGACCGAACCGTGATTTTTGTGTACCGTTACACCCCTACAGTGTACCAACCATACTGGTAAATGGCATTACTGAGATCAGCGTGAATGCATTGTATATTAAAGGCACCCAGGTTGCACTTCTCAGATTTTTATCGTTCTTTCTCATTTCTCCATCTTCCTCTTTGAATTTTTGGATTATTCTTCTGGGGTCAGACCTGATTTAGGGGGAGTGTTTAGCATGGGACATCTCTCTCTCTCTCTCTCTCTCTCTCTCTCTCTCTCTCTCTCTCTCTCTCTCTCTCTCTCTCTCTCTCTCTCTCTCTCTCTCTCTCTCTCTCTCTCTCTCTCTCTCTCTCTCTCTCTCTCTCTCTCTCTCTCTCTCTCTCTCTCTCTCTGTGAGCAGCTGAGACTCACTTAAGAGAACAGCAGATGTGGAATTTCTGTCCGTTTTGCCTCCCAGGCTTTTTTTTTTTTTTTTTTAAACACTACCATACTCCTTTCTATGGGCCTCTAGTCTAGAGTGAGAGGATCCGTATGTGCCGTGCCCAGCATTGTGCAGAATTCTTGTTTCATTGTTTACTACTTATTCTTGGTAAAGCTTTCAACTGCACTCTGGGTCCACAAATTGTATTGCTCAGTTTTTCCTTCACTTCGGTTCCAAGTTGGCTTTTTCTGTGCGTGACTCCGTTCAGGGAGCACTGAATGGAGCATCTTTTATGGCTTTAACTTTTTCTGTACTATGGAAATTAGAATTCCTCTTTATCTGACACTGTTCTGTTTTATTGCATGGAGAATGAGTTGAGCTGGTAAACATACACTATGTTCATGAATTATTTCCAACATCGCCTACTTAATAATGGTTGAATGTTTTTCCAATTATCAATATAGTATAATACAATAACATTGCCAATAGCTAAATGAATTATGGCCACAATGGTCATGAAAGTCGTCAAGTCATCCAACAACCAACCAGTGATAAGTTATTCTAATATTTTTATTTTAGGTTTGATTTTTTTTAGTAGTGGTGCTTTAGTTGGCGTTTTTTTTCTTTAGTAAAGCGGTTTACATTTTAAAATCCTTCAAATTTCAACCTTTCTTCTAAGTATACGTCACTTAGATTTAGGGATCTTTTAGACCGAATAACCAAGGATTATGTTCAAAATGTGTGGCTGATCATTCAGTATTTGCCTGCTTTAGATATAAAACATTCAGTAAAGCCACTAAATGTTCTTTGTTTCGGTATTCTGGAGTTCAGGATTCTGTTTCCAATTTCCATAGCCAATTAAAGTAGATGATGCGATCAAACCTTGTATGGACTAACCAGTTTTGATCCAACCACAAGTCCATGCAAGGCCCACATTCCTGTACTTCGTGAGATAAATGGCAGTCTTTTAGCATGCAGTTTGCAGGGGTGATGCAGTCTGTGCATTACATTTAGAGAAGCTATATGCTTATCTGCTATTTTATCTTCATCTCAATCTGAGATGCAGGTCTCTTGTGGTTGTTGCTAGGTCCATGTAATGCATTGAGAATTTATTTCGATAAAACTGGTAGTGCTGGGCGGTATGACCAAAAATCTGTATCGTGCTACTTTTTAAGATTCTGGCGGTTTCATGGTATATCAGTGTTTTTTTTCATGACTGGATCTTTATATAAGTTTATAGTGGCTTATTTTACTTTCAGGAGTACATAAAATAGAAAAACACTGTAATGTTAAATACAAATTTACTTAAAAAAATGGAGGTAATCAAAACAATTTATAAAACAAACAATTTAGTTAACCTTTTAAAATGTAATCAAATAAAAATTAATAAAACCTTTTATTTTTTGGCAAATTTACTGTTTATATTAAAACATGTATGAGAACTTGATATTACTTAAAAAAATATTTTGTAATCAATTGTATTAGTATTACACCGTACATTCTACTGTGCAATGGTACTATATTTCTGTTATAATTTCTTCAGGTTAAACCAAACTTATTTTGATGAGTTGTCATGAAGACCTTTTAGTAATGTATTATGTGATTAGATTTTCTTGAATGCAATGGTAAATGTTTATAAAGTGAACTCTCAGAGAAACTCT